GCTTACATGTGTTTTGTACAGTCTCTTAAAAAAATAAAATTGATTAGCATTGAGAATCTCGAACTATTGGTATTCACCATTAAGGCCGCAGTATCACTGTATTTTTCATGTAAGAAGCAAGGGTTTACCATTTCCGATTACATTTAAATCCCGCTAAATGCATTAAAATGAATCTTCTACCAGCTTAAAGTATAAGGTTTGGAGAATGAAATCTCCTATTTTTTATTTGTCCTGTTTATACACTGAATTTTAAAAAAAAATCATAAAAAGTGATTTTAAAACCAGAGGCTAAAAAGTAGGAGATTTCATTCTACATATTTTTCCAAGTATCCCGCCAAAATATTTCTAAATTTTATTGCGTATTTTTCAAATCTAACTGGAAATACGATTAACAAATATTTGATAAATTTATTTGTCAAATTAGAGATTTTCTATGAATTCCTGTAATTGTGTGTAGTTCATGTAGTTCATCTATTTTTAAGAAGATGTCACCGTAAAAAACATGTAGCTACTCTGTTTTAGAGATGGTTTTAATAGGTAAATGATTGTTTAGAGGTACCAGAGACAACACGAGACGGTTAACTTCATGGCAAAAATTGATTGACATTTAGGTATAGTAGTCATCAGGGTCAGCTGGTATTTTATCTTTGTCATGTACATTATTTCCTTATAACGTTATCTTGTTCTCATAAGCTAAAAGATAGGGAAGATGTCGCTGGTAACGTTCCAGCAATGTTGCCGTTATGAACATTTTTCAAATTTGTTTCTTTTACATTTAAATAATAATGATCTTATTTATCCATAAGTAATACTTATATTGGACTTTTAATTTCTTTGTATATAATATATATAACAAAAGATGTGTTTTAAGAAATATATAGCAGGATTGTGTACAAAGATCAAAAATAAAAAGTCAATAGCACTAGAAGAAAATAAGTTTGGCATCACAGCACGAGCATTTCACTTTGACGTCTGCCAGATTGACGTATTTTTAACCTATCATTTTATCTTCTTGTCCAATTTTTTGTTTCTATGTTTGGTGACTTTGGTGTCGTTTTACTTATATATATTTTACAATTTAACTTGTAAATTCATTTTTTTTTGTTGTTTTTTATTCATTATTAGTTACGTATTTAAATTTGTTAGTTTAGTGTTTTCCTCGGTAAATGACATTTTTATCGTGATGTTTTCATATTAGGTAGTTTTAAGTTTGTTTACAAACCCGAAGGAACTAACAATGCCCGGATCACGCCGGGATTTTGTTTAATTTCCGTAAAGTAAGTATTTCAATTTTATTGTAAAACCTTTGTGGTGTGAATGTTTATTATTGTTTAATACAGAATATATCTTATTATTGAAATCATACTTCGTTTTATTTTCCTTTTTAATGCTTTTTATTTTGTGTGCTAGTAAATGTGAATTACATATTTATTCACATTTCCAGTGCATCAAATCAGAAAAAATCATAAAAATAATAGATAAAGTGGATCTACATATTTGAATTTCCCGCGGTTCTTCTTTTTTTAAAAAAAAATTATAATTTGACAGATTGCTTATAAAGAAAAAGGCCACTATTAAAACACAAGGTATACCAGCGCCATCGGCCTTATCTTCCAGTCCAATCGCCCAGTCAATTCTTGGTGAAAAGCAAAATTGCATTGAGTTAACCGTCTGGAGGTACCAATTTTTGAAACAGTGATACAGCGGTATGCCGTCTTTTATTGTTTCGTGATTTTCATATATATTTGTCTCGTTTGGTTCCAAATTATCGATTGATTTTGCCTGTGTATGAACAAGTGTTGACCACGTTGCCAGATTATCGATTTATACGATAATTTTACAATTCTTTCTAGGACGAATTTGATTTTAAAGTGGGTGAAATATACAATGGTGAACTGCAGGAAAGGCAAGGAACTTTTAGCCCAAGAGCCCACTGCAAATGTTTACCGTCATCTGATAACGAAATGAAATATACCCCAAAAAGCATGGAAAAATATTGTACTTTACTAAATGGCACCTGTGCCAATCCCAATCCTGAGCAAAGTGGCTTAAAAAAATTATTTTATATTAAAAAAATCACATAAGGCATGACAGCGCTAATTTTGTTTGCCCTTAAAGTTTTCCAGAAAATATTATTTAAATATATCTTGATATATATCGTTAAAGGGAAACATTTTCTTCCTCTTAACATCGCACAAAAACATCTATCCACGATTAGTAGGTAAATATCATTAAAAATATGAATCAATGTTCGCTGATTTAAACATTTATTTGTATGCCTATAATTGTTGTGATTCATTTTCACAGGTTGCCATAGAAACGACAAAAAAACTACTATGATTATGGTTTAAAATAATTGTCTAACAAGATTTTATAATTATTATTGACTATCTCTGCAAATGGTTTATACAATGCCATCCTTCTTCCTTTCATACATAAACATGGTTTAAAAGGTAGGTAAAAATATTAATAATTCAGGTTTAAAAGCTAGGTTCACAACGAATTAGGATTGTAATTTTCAGGGAAAATATAATTGTCGCTGTCATGTTTTATGTGATTTTTTGAATATAAAATAATTTTTTTTAACCACTTTGCTCAGGTTAGGGATTGGCACAGGTGCAATTTGGTAAACTACAATGTTGTTACATGCTTTTGGAGCATATTTCATTTCGTTATCAGATGACGGTCGAAATTTGCAGTGGTCTCTCATACTATTTATTGCATTCCGATGTAATTTAAATCCGAATGACCTGGCATCATTGTATGATACGCACGTATTATTTGTGTACTTTGCTTTCTTCTTCTCAATGTTATTTTATGTTTATTAGGAATCTTATTTCTGAGTTAACACGTTGACTGCTATGTATATGTACCCATGTGTATGTCCCATTAGTGCGTAATTGTTCAATATTTTAATTTATGTTAAAGACACGCAAACATGTTTCAAAGAAAAGTTATATGTATTTAAAAAATACATATTTTAAAAATATTTTTGGATATATACAGGGTGTTACATTTTTGCTTGGCATATTTTTAAAATAGAACATGTATTTTATTTCAATTTTAGAATGGTTTGGTAATACTGTATTCAACCCTAGAATAATTTAAAAAAATATTACAAGTCTGCCAAGCAATTAAATTTTTATAAAATTAGAGAATGATGCAGACCCCAAATTAAATTATCATAATTTAGGTAGGATTACATTGATTTCAAAATTGTTTAATACACTGACTCATAGCACATTAAGATAACGAATAGTAGTGATAGTGCTGGATTCTTTTATAGCGAGTGTTTTGAAACATGTGTCTTAAATATGGTTACTTTTAAGTCAGATTACTCAATTTTTTCAAAGGCAACATCAGATAAAATATTTTAGCATACAATTCCTTATAAATTTGCATATCCAACGATACTAACATGTTAGAGAATAACATATATACAGAGTGTCCCATCAGTGCGTAACTGATCGATAGCTGTTTTATTATTGGAAATAAGAAAAAAATTAATATAAAAGTTGTATGACCATATTTAAAAATTAGTCCTATATATACAGGGTGGTCCATAAACGAGATGTTGACCAAACCTATACATTTTGAAATCAAAACACCCTGCAGGTAGTTATACGTCATGGGCAAGTAACATCTTTTTTCCTTCTAAATTTTAGTCCACTATCCACTTTTGATGTTTTTTAAATAAAGTTGAGTTAGTTTTTGAGATATTCGCACATATTTGAAAATTCAGAAGTTTTTAAATTTCGATTTTTTTTTAATAAATTTCTAAGAAGAGTACATTATTTATTTCAAAAACATCAAAGAATTTAAATTTTTTTGTCAAAATAACATTTTGGATAGTGACGTAAAATTTAGAAGGGATGCGGTATTACGTACCAATGCTGTACGCCACTGGAAAAGTTAATTAATGTAACTAATTTTTTTGCTGATAGGTGGATAATTTGACACCAAAAACGTTTTCCAAATTTAGTAAAATTTTTGTGAGTAATAAAAAAAATATAGCTATAAATATTTTTTGGATTTTAACACCGTAATTCGGTACCGAGAATCATTTTATCTAAGCATGATTTGTTTAGTTGTCTTATTTTTAATCAGAGAATCGTCAGTTGTTCTATGTTCCATTCTTAACGAAACACCATGTATACAAGAATGAACTACTAAGAAAATATACCAATGTGTCGAATTTAATACAAAAATTTTATTTTTATACCTGCTACATCGAAAATATTTGTCCAGGTCAAGAACTCGTTTACTTATTATATTATCGGGTAGTAGCTAGGGGTGATGAATATTTTATTTTATAACAGTTACCGTTTAGAATTAATAAAATTATTACGCCATCTGTTGAACAAAAGAACTATTAAATATGGAATATTGCTCCATCTGCTGAACAAAAGGATTCTTAATTTATGACACATAAATGACATCTATCAAAATTAGTTCATGTTACGAATATTGGGGGTGGTACTGTGGTCTTAAGCGATATTTGTATGTACGACTGTCGCGAGAGAACTATAAAAAAAAGGTTAAATAATAAAATTAAGGAAGATTTAGATATCCACATATCAGAAACTTCATTAAGAAGAGTCCTTAAAAAATTACAATTTAAATGGAGAAAAACACAAAATAATCGTTAAGTTTTGGTGGAAAAAATGAAAATAAGAACTTTAAGAGGAAAATATTTGAGACAGACAAAATATTTTAGAAGTCAAAATAGACCAATCGTTTATTTAGATGAAACATATATACAGAGCGGACATACTTCTTCCAAGAATTGGACAGACGATTCAACAAAAGGTTTGTTATCTGCGAGGTTATCTGTTATTTCTAAAGACCAAAGGCTTATTATAGTTCACGGTGGGGGAGAAATGGGTTTTATCAAAAATAGTTTGTTGATATTTAAATCAGGGACCAAGTCTGGAGATTAATCATTCCGAAATGAATTCGGAAAATTTACTGTTTACAAAATAATAAACATAAAAACTTACCAGAATTATTATTGAATAGTAATTTGTTATCCTATAAAACTATACAGTAAAATGAAGATTTTACACTGAACAGTATTTGAAATCTAGTCCTCGTTCTGTTTTACTAGCGAACAGTTCAATAACTCGTTCATTAAAGTCTTTAATGTTATTGAGGAACACTTTTTCAGCTGATAACATTCCCAATGCACTTAGTCTTTCTTCTTTCTTTGATTTGAGTAAAAAAGTTTTTATCCTCTCTAATATAGAGAAACACCTCTCAGCTTCGGATGTCGACATAGGTATTGTCACTAAAACTTCCAGTAGTTTAATAGTTTCTTGAAATGTGTCCCTCATATCTTCCTGTGAAAGTAATGATAAAAGAGTAACGGCTTCAGAAATGGTTTGTAATTCTTCTCTTTCATATAGTACTTGCAGTTCTATTTTTAGACGATTTTTTTCTAGAAATGGATATACTTTAATTGTATCAGAGAGCAATTTTTCAGGAAAGATTTTTTGGTATTCGACAAAATGTTCTTTCATTAATAATGCGGTAGCTATCAGATGTCCTGTAAAAGTAAATCGAGCCTTAATCTGTTGTATAATGGAATCACAAACTTCCAAGGCTTCTATTTTTTTATTTGTTGAAACAGATAGATCGGATTGAGAATACCGTCGCTTTTTCTGAGGAACAAGTTCAACTTCGTTTTCTAAAAACTCCGAGTCTAGTTGGTCAATAGTTATATCCATTTCATCACGAATTTTTTGAATCGCATTTTCAAAGTTTTGTAGATCTTGTTTAGCCTTATTAGGGTCGGTATTAATCGTCTGTAGTTGCTTAAAAATCAATTCTACATGTGGCATGATTTTATGAAAAATTGTTAACCAAAATATGAAATCTCTGTTCTGTAATCTAAGTTTATATGCACCGGCTTGCTCAATCGTAGAATTTAATTTAATATTTTTATCGTTCTCTAAAATATCCATAACATGTATCAGCTCATTTCGGTATTCATAAACTGTATAAACTCCACGTGATTGAAAATTCAATCTCTTTTGTGATGATCGTGGTAATCGTCTATGAGCTATATCATCCAATAGTTTTGTCCTTTGAGGTGATGTAGAAAAAAAAGAACACATTCCAGTTAAATGAGCGAAAAAAATCCGAACAGATGCATTATTTGAAGCCGCATTACTCATTATACGGTTAATATGATGTGCATAGCAATGTACATAATTTGCATAAGAATATTTATCATGAATTATTTTTTGTACCCTATTTACACCTCCGCTCATGACTGACGCTCCGTCATAACTTTGTGCGATCAACTTATTTGGTGTATCACTTATTAAAGGATCAATTTCATTTAAAATGCAATTTGCTATTGAACTGGCATTGTGTCCGGGAGGATTTAAAAATTTCCAAAATCTTTCTACTGGCTTATTAGAGACAATGTATCGTAGAATAAAGACTAATTGAAATTCGTTAGCGACATCGGTAGTTTCGTCGGCAATTACAGCTACATAATTAGTTTTTTTTATTTCTTTAGTCACTTCTTCGTGGTAAACATCAAGCATGCAGTCCAATAATTCGTTCTGTATGGTCTTAGAAGTCCCTTTAAATACTTTAGCTTTGTTGAAATGTTCCTTTAAATCTGTATCTAATTGAGAACTAAAATCTATCAATTCTCGGAACACTCCTTTATTTTTAGATTCATCGGTTTCATCATGGCCTGCTAATTCTAATGCACCACAAAATCTTATACAGTTTATAAGTATGTTTAAAATATATCTGTTTTTATCAACTTCTTGGTTGTGTTCAATAATATTTTGTCTATGAGCCAAGCTTAATTGAGTCATTATATTTGATTGTCCGACCAAAGAAAAACTAAAAATATTATTAATATGTAACTTACTGTTTTCATGTGATTTAATTTTCTCATAAATATGTACTAAATCAGTGATACCATGCATCGTCCACGTAGAATCGCCACCAAATAAAACACACACGAAACAAAAAAACGCATTTTTTTGATCGCATCCACAAATCCAGTTATTTTTTAAATATACATTCCAATTAAACTTCCTTACACGGCCTTTGAAGCTTGACGGACTAGAGGTGGACGCCTTCTGCGTTTGTGTGATTTCTAAATCGGGAAGCGGTCTTCCAAGTTTTTTGATTAAAATTTTGTCCTCGAGCGTGAGCGTAGAAAAAGGGTTCATTAACAGATAACTTATTTTATTCATTTTGTCTCGGACGATTTGTAAACAGTAATTATATTTATATTATTACACAGAAAGCTATTAAAACATTTTAACTTATGTAGACCGGACCGCCGATACACTTACGCACAACGACAACACCAACTTTAAAGCCTGAATGTGAACTGGAACTGAAATATTCAATTCGAAAAACTAATCCGAGCTATTCGAATATGAGGTCTGTTCGGGTTCTTTAAAATACATTGAAAACTATCAGAGGACTAGTTGACCAGTGGACAGTTTAATAGTTGTGTGCGACGTATACTTTATAATTGAACTGTTCCACTAGTTCTCGGACGGTTTGCATCGAGTTTTAAGGAAACCCGAACAAACCTATAGGCCCGTTTAGACGTATGCGCATGTAACCTTGAGTCTCGAATAACCTTTTCCAATGTTAGCAGACGGGCCGTTGTGCGACGTGCTCGGACGGAATATAGGCCAGTCAATGAAGACATATATTTTGAAAACTTCACAAATTACAAACTATGAAATAATAATCAGCTAGTTTAAATAACACTAAATTTAAATTTGTAACCATTTCCAAGGTTCGGAAGTAGTTCATTCATAGCAAAATGGCGCTTTTGTTTATAATTTTGAGAAAAAAATATTCCAATTTGCAACCTTCTCTTTTACTCATAAATATTTTTTTGTTAAATTGCAAAATAATTGTTTGTCTCTAATTTTGTCAAAAAAAATTCAAAAGTTATGAAAAGTGGTTGCAAATGTTAATATTAGTCTTCTTAACAACCTCTGACAAGGTCCGCTACCTTGAAAATTAACAGTAATAGACAAGTCGCACTTTTTGCAGTCGCAAAAAAGTTTGAAAAGCTTTGTGCAAGAGAGATTTATACACATCCCCAACTAGCCATTGATAAAAGTGTATTTGTTATGAAGTCCTTACCATCATCTACCAACTGTATAGTCCAGCAACATTTATATATTTAGAGGGGGGGTCCGATGGGTTGAAGCCGAAAATGCGTCAGAACATACGAAAACACGGCTCCTTTTTTCCAGTGATAAAAATAGTTCTAGTAGTAAGAGATATACTGAAGTTAAGTAAAAAAATAGTCTGATTAATCTATGAGTATGGATAATATATTTGGCAAGTGCAAATACACTTTCAAACGAGTTATGTACACAATTTTTCCTACGACCACAATTATTTAAAGAATGTTGCAGGTGTTTTGTATATTAAAGTGTACGCATAGGACACATAAATAAAATCATATATCACAATGTTTTACCTCACCAGTTGGTTTATTTATAGAAATAAAACATAATAATTACAGATATTATAGAAGAAAATAGGGAAAAAAATTACATTTCGTTTTACACTTTTATATAATAATTATTTTATTTGGAATTCACGAAACACTTATTACTGTCTACTCTACATTAATTATAATTATTGTTAGTTTCGTTTTTTCAAATCATTAATACTAGAGATGTGAGGAAAAGACAGTGAACTGTGGAAAACCAATATCGTTGGGTGCGCGTGGTAGAAATGGTCCTCTAATGCTGCTAAAAACATAGCTACATTTTCATGAAAACATTGTACTTCTGACATTTGATATACTCCGAGGCATACGCATTATTGACATAATCTCATGATTTTACAGTAATAGTTTTTACAATTTTAGTGTGATTTTAAGGTTATTACGGTTATTCGTTTTGTTTGGTTCTGATCTTTTGCGCGTTTAGGGTATTTTTTTTTATAATTATAGTTTTTAATTTGAATTTTAATTGTGTGGTCTATTTATATTTGATTGCTGCGTTTCGACTAGTGCTTTATTCTTTTTGTGTTAAAATAAGCTTCATAACCATTAAGTACATGCTTCTAGTTGTCACCGGGTGCTTGCAACAATGGAAAAAAGTGTATGGTTTTTTTGGTGTAAAAGTTAGAAGCCTTCATTTTTCAGGTAAGTTATTTTTAGTTATTTTTTACTTAAAAAGATAGCAATACGTCCTGGTTCGGGGTGTGACTGTTGGGTTTTAGCTATCTGAGCCAAATTGTCGGCTAAGTGTCCTCTTTTGGGGCACCCAGAACCGAAAACTATATAGTTATATATCATGTTTTTTAAAATTATTTTTTAAAATTTGGAGTGAGGGTAGCCATATGTAAGTAGTAGGGATTAAGTATAAGGGGTTAAGAAAAGGTCCTTTATTTCTCACACGTCAATTTTAATTGGCGACCGGTTTCGAAGCTATTGCTTCATCATCAGGCACACCTAAATGGAATGTCAAGGAGTCAGTATTAATAGAAACAATTATAAAAGTATGAACGGACATTAACATATACAAAGTAACAGAAAAAACGCAAAAGAAAATTAAACAATGACCTTGACTCACCTTGACTATTTCCATAAAGGAAGTGCTACATAAAATTTAACAAAACGAGTTAAAAAAGTCATGTAATACCTACAATAGTATTTTTTTAAATATATTTTTAGGTTAGGTTAAACCGCGAGATGTCTGATTGAATAAATTAATTAAAACACATGTAAGACAATTATTAACTAAACAACACAAAAATAGTTTTTACAAGCAAAAACAGTTAAAAAAATTTTTAAAGAATAGACGTTAATTACAAATGAACAGTAAAGAGTAAAAAAGTAAAAAGTAAAAATTATCAGACTCCCATGACATCTATCTAGATTTTAACGAATCAGTGCAGTAAACTGTAAATTTTAAATTTAGCGGATAAATAGTGTACTAAAAAAAGGTGTTATTTACTGAAAGTGAGTATAGGTGGCGGTGGCACAATTTATTGATAGTAAAAATATTAAATTGGAATGAGAAAGTAAAAAATACTAATAAGAAAAATAGAACACTAAACAAGAAAAAATGAAAATTCATATGTAAAAGTGAAAATTGAAGCAGATAATCAAAAGAAAAATTACTGTTACAGGAAAACGGAAAATGAGTTGACAAGTACGAATGTCAAAAAAGAAAAGTCAAATTTTGGCGTATGACAACCAAGTGGGAGAATTTAAATAAGCCAATTAAGGGAAAATTTAATATGAAAGATGCGAGTGGACAAAAATTAATGGAAACAGAGAAGAAAATCTAAATTGAGAGAGTTAATTTGTGGTAAGTAACTGATTGAAGATCAAATGAGTGGGGGTACAGGTCAGAAATTAATTTAAATAAGAGCAGAAAACGTTGGGGTACTAATAAATTGAATTTGTGCATTCAGAGAGCAAGAAGGACCAGATTTAATATTTTTTTAAAATTTCCAGGTTCTTAAAGTTATTCAGAAGGAATTTATTAGAAGTCATATGCAAAATGTCGAAGCCAATGCTAGAATCAAAATCGTGACCAGTTTCTAACAAATGAGCAGTAAAGAGAGAAAAACCAGTAGTGTTAGTGTGCTCTTTCAGGCGTATTTTAAAATTACGAAAGGTCCTTCCCACATATGAGCATCGACAGTTTAAACAAGTTAGTTTGTAAACACTAGACTGATCCATAGGATCAATTTTATCCTTATTCCTAACAAAGAGGCTACTGATGGAGTTGGACGTTCTAAAGCTAATTCTGAAGGAATCTTTGAACAAGTTGGCTATACGATATGAGAATTTTCCAATAAAAGTAAGTGAAACATACTTACGATTATCTGCTTCAATATTGGGAAGGGGGTTAATTATGTAACTATTGTTCTGATTACGTTTATTCTGTTTTCTATGAAGCATTTTATCTATTAAGTTCTGATCATAATTGTGACTATTAGCAATTTGTTTGATAACATTGAGTTCTTTATTAAAGTTATCTACTGATAGAGGTACTTTCAGAAGACGTTCCAAGTAACAATTAAAAGCTGCTAACTTATGTGTAACTGGGTGATTGGATAAATTACAATAACAACCCCTGTGTGAGTAGGTTTTCTAAATATGTTAAATTCCAACTTAAGATCTTTACAATGGGATATAGTTAAATCAAGGAAGTTGATAGATTTGTTGTTTTCTATCTCTAATGTAAATTTGATGTTACTATGTATGGTGTTTATATAATTTAGGAAGTTATTTAACTTATCCAGATCACCAGTCCATAGTATCAGTATGTCATCAACATATCTATGATAGAATTTAATAGCTGAGCAAAAAGGATTGTTGTTTAATATATTGTTATTCTCAAAATTATGCATAAAGATGTCTGCAAGTATAGGAGATAAAGGTGAACCCATAGCTAATCCTGTTGTCTGTGTAAAAATTTCATTATTAAAAAGGAAGAAGTTTTGTTCAAGACTAATTGTTAATAAGTTCATAAGTTCCAACAGTTCTACATCTGGTAAGGTAGATAAAGACAAGTAAGATTTGATGTATTCTAAAACCTCTGGGATAGGTACATTAGTAAAAAGATTTGACACATCTACTTAGTTTCGTTAGATGGAATGCATTGCAGCTTTCAGAAAAATTATAGGGGCAAAGTGGAAAATGGCATTCTACTTTGCCCATCAAAAAATTATAATGAAAATGGACTTGCTTAGATTTGTATTGGGTTATTGGGTTGATATTCTGTTCTGTTCTATTTTTTTTTTTTTTTTCAGATAAAAATGATTAGAAACTATGTCCGTAAATCCTCGCAGCATGCTTGGAATGAGGGCCCACTATGCATAAACACGTTAAATCTATGAAAACTTTACATCACATTGTTACATTGTAACTCTCATTTTTATTCTTGTTTTCATCTATAGGACCGTCTAATCCCAGAGTAAGGACGTTTATTTTTGTGATGAAACAATGTAGACGTTCCAGTGATATTATAGGGCTAACTTGTTACGTTATTCAACGTTACTGGAAGTTCCCAAAAATGATGTCTTTTTAACAAACCAGATGTGACAGTCCTTTTATATCCAAGAAAGTATTTTTACTTCTTGTAGATGTTATTATAAAGCCCATAAAATTCAATCATATTAATGAACCAAATGTGACGTTCCAAATATGATACAGTTCATACCTTTTTATTTTTCTTTGTCTTTTTGATTTTATATGGACTATGTTATGTAAATATTTATTAATATAAAACGGAATATAAATAATGTCTTCTAACTTGAAGTTAAAAGCTTAGAAGACAAATTAAATTTCTAATTCCAGGAAATTTTACAGGAAAAGTATGATAATAC